GAAAAATCTATAGTAACGGAAGGAAGGTTTCAAGCTTGAATTTATTTTTATTAAACTCGCAGCTTTTAATTATCCTTATTATTATTATTTATTATTATTATTATTATATATAGCAACGGGAGAGCAAATTATTTTACAAGAAAACCATAGTACTAATAGGTTTATTCCTCTGTCGTCAAAAAAATCTGTTTTGGCCTTATTGGCCTAGAGTATTTTATTCTTTTCTTTTTCAAAAATGAAATTAATTTCTTTATATCTTCTGTTGAATTTAACACTTCCGTCATCAGTGAGTACTGAAACATTAAGGGATCAAATATTTGGAGTGTAAAACACCCAACGATTGAGTCAAGAAATTATTTCTTGGCCGAATATGATTTTTATTTGAAGTGTAAAGACTTTTATTTATTTCTGTAAAGACTATTTTGAGGTTAAAGGTATTTTGAGGTAAGTTACATCATGTACAGGGTGTACCATTCTGGGTACTTTTGTGACGTATCTCCGTTATTTTTATAGATAGGGAGTTGCCATTTTCGTGACAATGCACCACTTTTTTGTGAAACTAAAGATGCGATAACAAAAGTTTCATAGCTCTTTCAGTTTTAACGATATAGAGCTAATTTAAAGCATTTTCAGGCACCACTCATATCTCAACTATTAGAGAACTGAAACACGTAAAATTAAATGCACAATTTAATAGTAGGTTGTGGTTATTGTTTATGAAAACCATCAAAAAGAAATGTCACATATTCACAGTGATTTTTGGATCGACTTGAAGCAGTTTATTTAAGTTCTTTTAGTATTTTTCTTAATTATTTTTTTTAAACAGAACACCCGTTTTTTACCTTTTCATAAATATGTAATGGCATACACTTTTTCTATAAAATTTTGCAAATTACAAATAAATGAAAATTTTCAAAAATTAAATGCACAATGTAACAGTAGGCTAATTTGTTTAAGTCCTTTTGGTATTTTCGTTTGATTAATACTTAGACTTCCTTCCTTCTCAATTTTTCTACATGGGGACGAAGGTGTTACTTGTACATAGCCTAAAACATCTATATCTTTTCTTTCCCTATTCTCTTTGTTGTATGTTTTAGGACGAGTGTGAAGAAATGATCCGTACTCAATTAAATTTGCTTTTAAACCAGTAAGTATCTCAAAAAACCATTGCCTGCGTTTTGGGTATCTAACAAGCACAACCTTGTAATGATAATAGAGATTTTCATTTTCATTTCAACTACCAAGAGAACTTATATAAATTGCTTTAAGCCGATCTAACAATCGCTGATAATATTTGACAGTGCATACTATATAGTTTTAAGAGCTAAAAGAAGGCAAATTTTATAGTCCATAAATTTACAAAAAGGGTTCGATAAATTTTCGACCTGGCCCTGTATACTAATTACGACGGCGGAATTGACTTATGACGGAAAAGTTATATAAGAGATAGTGCTCACAGTTTGCAGAAGTTTCACGAAAAAGTAGTACACTGTCGCGAAAATCACACCTTTCGATGTATAAAAATAACGGAGATACCCCGGAAAAGTACTTTAAATCGAACACTCTCTACATTTAAGAAGATCAGGTCCTTTTGAGCCCAAAGCAATAATTACATTCAGATGAACTACTAATTAAGTTAACTAATTAATATAGTAATAATATATTTCCTAAACGAATCTTAGAATCGTGATATACGAGGTGTGTTCAAAATGTAGGGTGACTTTTAAGTTTTGTTTTCTCCTTCAAAGTAAACGCAAACTGGCCATATCCAAAATCCATATTAGAAATATATAGTAAGTCTTCAGGAATTTTAAGATTGGTGATTCCGTCCGGAAAAAATAACGATAATTGCAAAATAAAAGCGAGTGATACATACACATAGGCCTGCGTATAGTTAGGTGGTCATCTCGCATCAGGGACCAGGAAGGGGAGCAAAGATAAAGTAGGGCCCAGTTATCTCCTACACACATGCACGTTCTGTTGGCGCATTTGCCTTTCTTTTCCCTTTACCATCCCCCATCCCCACGGCCAGCGTTATACGGTATACATTTAAGCGTCCGCTCGGTCAGAAAGAAAACTCACACTTGGCAAGATTTATTTGCGCATTAAAAATCGCCGCTAATCCATTTTGAATTCCCAACCGCCCTAAATACACAAAGAATGCGTCTTGCTTTTAATGAATTTGTTTTTGCAATTCCCGACCCGTTCGCGATTTTAGCGGAACTTGTTTGCTCTCCTTCTGGTGTAAACATATCTTATAACTAATAACTCTTACGGTTCGTGTTTTGGGAAATACGAACGTATTCGCGATTCACTTGTTAGAAATATTAAAAGTGCTTTTCATTCAAGCTCCATTGAGTGAGGAAGTGATGGTTTTTCTTAAGGTGTGGTCTCCATAACTCTTCCAGTTAAACATAAGGTAGTGATGATAAATGCTGAGGTTGTTAAAGCCAAAATCTAGATGTGTTAATGTCACTTTCATAATCTAGAATAGACTCCCTTTTCAATCACCGTAATTCCCTTAATGACTAGTAAATTTACTATCCAGGAAGACAAAAAAATTAATTGGAATTGTTGTTTGTAAAAGAGCCATGACAATATGCAGTAACTAAGCATTTCCGTTGTTAAACTAAACAAGACTGCTTTTGAAAAATCGTTGCTGGATGGGACAAGTTCGCACCGCGTAGCGCGAAACAGAGAAGGACGCAGTGTTTTCCTATTAGGCTCCTGCGGACTACTATTGAACTTTCGCAAAATTAATGGAATTTAATTGCGCGTGCACCCTGTACATGTGACTTTCACGGTCACCGATGTTCAAATTCGTGGCAAATTTTGGTAAATATAAAAACATCTACCATTCACAACAATATTTTTATTCGGTTTAAACCAAATTATCGCATCTTTTTTTAGTATTTTTGTTCAAAAACAAGACACCCTGTATATAATTCAAACAATGTTCGAAGTAGAAGTTATAGCCTTGAATCTCCTACGTTTCCTACTACAAGAATTTTTCCAATAGGGTAAACGGTTTTCGGGAAAATATTTTTTTCTGAAATTATGCAGTACGAAATAATAGTCAATGACGTCATGGCGTCTAATATGAGTCCGAGGAATAGTGATTTTCATAAGGATTTTTTCAAATATCTCCAGCAGCGTATGTGATAGACGAAAACCGTAAATACAAAAATTGTAGCTCCCGACGAGGTCTAAAACACCATTTGAAGCGATTAGTTATTTTTTCAGGGTCTTTTAGATTTTCGTCAATAATTGAAAAACCCTGTACATAATCGAAAAAATGCCTGAAATAGTCCTAGATCTCCCGCGTTTTATGGTTCAAGAAGTTTAAGGATCGGGTGAACAGTTTTCGAGAAATTAATGTTTTTTATACAGGCCAAAATGACGGCAAAATATTTGTCGCAAAATTTTTAAATAATAATAATAATAATAATAATAATACATTTATTGTTATAACCATCAAAGTTACATAGAAATAATTACATAACCAAAGTTCAATAAGTGAAATAATGGTCAACAATAGGCCTTGTTAGGGCAGCCATCTAGAAGTTCTAGATACTGTTCAGGCCTCAACTTAACAGCGAAAATATAATAAAAAATTTCATAGAATTGATTTGAAATCGCCAAGCGTAGATACACATAATTCTAAAGAAAAGAAAAGAGAAGAAATGGAGGGGGAAGGAAAGGGAAGGAAAGGGGCACATGTTTTGTAGAAGAGCTTAATATTAGTGCGTACGTAACAACTGCTTTTTGAAATTATTTCTAAACGTCGAGTTGGACTGATGAATATCAAAATTAGTAATAGAGTTAATGCAAATGGCTATATTATAGGAATATGATCTTTTAAATAATTCTTTGCGGTGACGGGATATAACTAGTCGGTGTCTACCACGCAGATTCAAATTGTGTATTGATATGTTAAGAGTAATTTTTCTGTAAAGATAAAAAGGTAATTTTGTTTTAAGGATGTTGAAATAAAGGGAACTCATTCGTAATTTGCATCGAAGGTGCATATTAAGCCAACCCGACGCAGCAAGATACGGGGAGATATGATCTCTCCTCCTTACCCCATAATTTAGCCTTAGACAGGAGTTTTGAACCTTCTGGACACGGTAACGATCGGACGCATCCAGGCACGGTCCGTACACAGCACTGCAGTGATTAAATTGTGACAGAACAAGTGATTCTCACAGCAACTTACGAGTTCCCTGACAAAGTACATGTCTATTTCCATAAATTAATTTTAAATTAGCATAGGCAACCCTTAGTTTATTAGTAATATGTTCTCTGAAACGCAACTGCGAATCAAGAGTGAGACCCAAGCTTTTGCATGACTCAGAGAGTGGCAATTTTATGTTATTAAGTTTAATTGTTATGTTATACTTTGCATGGGTTACATGATTATCATTTCCAAAGAGTATTACTGAAGATTTATTAGGGTTAAGCTTTAGGAGGTGATCTGTTGCAATGTTAAAAAAATTTGATAAATCAGTATTGATGACATCCTCCGTGGTAGCTATTTCTTGAGGAAAAAATGAGTAGTAAATTTGAGTGTCATCCGCATAAAAATGACAGTTGCATTGGTGGAGGGCTCCAATGAAGTTAAAAGTAAAAATAGTGTACAACAAGGGACCAAGAATGCTGCCCTGTGGAACACCCATGCGAACACCTAGGAACGATGACTGCTGCTGATTGTAGACAACCCGTTGTGTCCGACCTGACAAAAAGGAACACAGAAACTTTCGAGCACCTTCGGAGAAACCAACGTAATGGAGAATGGCCAAGAGAATTGAATGATTTATCATATCAAATGCCTTACTGAAATCCAACAATATTACAACAAACTAAAGCCGTGATTAGGTCTAAAACCAGACTGTTTCTCTGGTAGAATATGATTAGAATTTAAAAAGTTTACCATTTGATCGTTCATAATTCTTTCAAGTACTTTAGATAGAACAGGCAATATGCTAATTGACCGCAGGTGACTAAATTCGCTTCCATGTTGACGGAAAGTACGAATTTAAGATACACTCATTTATTATATGCGTAATATATGGGGCAATATATGGACAGCAAAGAAGTATTAATGATGTATTTATATCATCATGGCCCGCAGCTTTAGATTTTATATTTTTCAGAATGTTGAGAATCTCATCTTCCGTGGACAATACAAAGTCAAAGTGATCCGTTCTGTCATTTAACCTATTATTATAATAAAAATTCAGCAGTTCTTGATTGGGGCTCTTATTATTTTCTACACTGTTTATAAAAAAAATATTAATTTGATCGACATTATCTAAGTGACTTGGCAAAGTACCCCTGTTACATTTTACATTAAGTTTCCTTAGTTCGTTCCATTTCTCTTTGGCATTACCATGACAAAACTTAGTTCTTAAATAAGCTTTTTTCTCTGATCTAATGGCCGAATTTGTATAATTACGTAATTGTTTGTAATGCTCGTAATGTGCTGTAAGTTTAGTCAGTTTAAATTTTTTTAGCGCTTTATTTCTCAGCTTTTGTAGCAGTTTTATGTTTTCTGTTATCCAAGGCGCATAGTTATAGTTTTTATTCTTCCTAAAGCGTTTTAACGGCGCGTCCTTATTAAATAGTTCCAATATGCAAGTATTTAAGAGGTTTAGCTTTTCTTCAATGTCACAAAAATAAAGTAAGTTATTTAACAGTAAATCTAGTAGATCCCTCTTAAACTCCTGAAGATTAATGGTTTTTAATGATCTATAATAAAAACTTACAGGTTCATTATCTGGCAAGTCTAGACTGAATTTTATGTATGTCAAAAAGTGATCAGCGATGTTATTGTCGACAACCCCTACATCAGACAAGTTTTTTACGTTGGTAAATATTAAATCTAAGAGCGACATAGAATGTAATGCAATGCGGGTAGGTTCTTGTATATATTGGTCCATATTGAAAGTAGAAAATACAGAAGTTAATCTAGTTCCAAGATTAGTATTTAAATTAAGCATATTGATATTGAAGTCACCAAAGCATATTAAGTTATTATAGTCCGAGTATATATTAAACGAGGATTCCTCAAGGGCATTAAAAAATTGTGATACGTTAGTTTTAGGTGGCCTGTACACAGTACCCTCGATAAAGGTTCGGTTATTTAACAGTACTTTAACCCATATGTATCCAATATGCTCAAGACAAGCAGAGGCTAAAACTTCACACCTTAAATTATTTTTAACGTACACTCCCACACCGCCTCCGCGCCTGTCCAGACGATTGTGATGCAGAAAATTATAATTCGGAATGCCTACCATCTGATCAACCCCCGCACCCAGCCACGTTTCAGATACACCAACGATATCATAATTGTTACTCAATAATTGGCTTAGAAAAGAGTCAAAATTGGCCAGCAAGGACCTTACATTAACATGTGAGGCACAAAAATTAAGATCCATTGAGAACTAAAGGAGGGAAGGTTAGGAAGGAAGGAAATAGTTATCAAATTCAAATGAGCAGTGGAAAGTACGAGGGTACCAAAACCAATAAAGTTGGTGCTGTATGTAACCTAAAGTTAATTTGAAGTTCGTGTATTATACAGAAACATATAAATACTGAAAAAAGCCTGTATCGTACATGTGGCATATGTGACATACCTAAATTACAAGATATAAAAACTATTCTTCGAAAAGTATATTATAATTGACTAATCTCATGGTGGTAAAGTTTTTACTAACAAGCTGAGAAATGTGAGGTTAACACTGCTTATCACTAAGATTAATAACGAAGAAAAAAAAAAGCAAGCTGTTATATTTTGATTCACAATTAATTTCTGTAAAGTTGGAAAGAAAAAAATAACTGTGAAGTGAGGTGAAACGTAGCTACATACAGTTATTCCTTGGTTTGGTCGGTGATTTGGTATATGTCGTCCTCATCCTGAACACGATACACTTCACCACGGCATTTAATGTAAATATTGCCGTTAAGACACCACACGCTTTTTTCGGAAAAATTTTTAACCGCCACTTTAAATAGGTACAACCGTGATTGGGTAAGGTCCTCCTTAACTACGATGCCATAATTTTTAAGTGCTTTACGATGTTTTAACACCATTGCACGAGCGTCAGCACTATGGAACTGAATTAAAATAGCCGGCAACTTGTTTACTATCGGATTTTTTGCTCCTACTCTATAGCAGTTTTTTATATAATTGTTCATCTTTTGTTGACATACTTTCTTTACGGTGTTCAAAATATTCTCATCCTTTTCGAAATGGACACCGAAAAGACGAATATTCTGATTGCGGCTATGTTGTTCCTGCTGATCAAGTCGTTGTTTTAAATCCTTATTTTCCTGCGGCATCCTATTCACCTCTTTGCGCAAATTGGACACTTCGCTCTCAACCCTCTCTATTTTTGACACAATTTTTTCTTCGAGTTTGGCAAGTAGAGAGCCAATAAGTCGGTCTTGAAAATCGTCACCAAGAATTGAAGCGGTAATTTGATCCGCAACAATCTTCCGAATATCCTCAGTATCATTCCTTAACAGTACCATTGTATAGGTTAGGTGTACAGCAACCGCACGGTAAACAAAACACTTATGCCCTCACGATAGAAATGACAAAGCAACCTGCACCACAGTGCTTCAGAAGAAAGCAACACTGATTTAGTAGCGAAATTAAGTTTTTCAGTATAATATTTGCCTAAGTCCGACTGCATGTAGGGGTGAACTTCTATTACCTTTAAATGCCAGAGTTTTAGCTGTTTCCATGGGCTAAGCTGTTACGTAGACGGAAACGCCGACTGAGCGACTTACAGTCAATTTTCTTTTCAAAGGTAACAATTTTCAGTTATTTGGAAATACCGGCACACCGTCTATATTTTCCAAAAATTGCTAAGGTTTATGGGCCTCAATATTATGCGTCGTTCGGTTCAAGAATTGTATCGATCGAATGAACGGTTTTCGAGGGTTAGTCACTTTTTGGTTTTTGAAAAAAAAAACGGTTTTTGAATTTTAAAAAATACTTGCCATTCACCGATCCCTCTGCACTCTACACTTTTGCAAAATTTCAAATCGATAGACTCAAATTTCGGACACTAATCGTGTTTCATAGCAGCGTCTAAATGACAGTCGAAAATCGGAAAAAAAAGATGGTCATAAATGGGTTCGGTCTACAGAGATCGGAGAACAGACAAAAAAAATTTTTTTTTCGACCCCGATTCGTTCTGTATACTTCGACCAGAAATATAGTGCTTTTACAACCGACCCTGTGATTAACTTTGCCTCCTGTTTATTACTCCAAAACCGCAGCCCTTTATAGAACACCCTGCCGAGCAGACCCTTACCCGTAACCATTCCAGGACCGTCCTAAGACTAGCAATCTTTTTCGCCGAGCAATCCTTGAAATGTGTATATAAAAAAAATAGTACAAAGTAAAAAGTTATTATGTTATATTTCACTACATTTCTACATAACATCATCATTAATATACAAAATATTAAATATAATAATAATAAAGTATCAATCACTTAAAAAGTCGTCACTATCGCTGATGTCGTCATCTAGTTCAATGGTCAACTCCGCCACTAATCGTTCTCGATAAATATATTCTTCTTTTATTACTCGTTTTTCACAATTAGACGACCACCCTTGGACTGACGTTTTAACTACCTCTTGCGGAATTACGTTTATGGTACTATCACTAAATTTTGGTGCAGTGTTATTTCTTCTTATATGCGCTTTCAAATCAGACCAAATCATTTCAATTGGGTTAACTATGTAATGATACGGGGGTAATGTCATGATATCATGTCCGTTTTGTTGTGTTCTCTCAAAATATAAATCATTTTCATACAGAAATTCTTAGATTTCTTCTTTATTTGAAGAAGTATTTGGAATTTGTCTAATTTGGGTTGAATAATACGAGGCCTTATCTAACACAGTAACAGTATTTGTCGATAGTTTTGGCATCAGTTTATTTTCAAACCAGTCCTCAAATGATTCCGCGGTCATGTTTTCATGGTAATGCACACTTGAATCTTTAACGTATTGTACAGACAACAATAAGGCATCTTCCACCCAACCATTTTTGAACCGAGCATGAAGAATTATTACGCATTTTAAATATGAAGGCGGCAGATCTAGTACACACTTGTTTGCTCTCGAAAATTTTCAATTGCATTTAAATAATCCACCCTCCATTGCGAAATTCTTTGAGTTTCCATTAGCATTTGACGTTTATTAATTGTTTGGAACTGAAAATCCACTTTCTTCAAAAAAGTACGCAACGACTCTTTAGCACAACTAATGTTTAAGTCTGTCAGTACTTTTTTATACAGTTCTTCTAGGGTTAAAACACTATTCACTTCATAAGCGTCGTAAATTATACGCCTAATTAGATCTGAGTGTTGCTGTTTAAAAACTCGCGAAGTACCACCATCTTCTCTCACTTTCCTCTTGACTATCCTATTTGCAACAATTTTTTTTACAGTTTACTTCGTGTTTTTATTGCTGCTGCTAGTTCCCCTTCTGGATTTCTTATAAAATTGTAAACATTCAAAACAATGTCTTTAGCATCAAAATACAAATGTATCCGTATTTTTATTCGCTGAGGTAGTTCGCCTTCTAAATTATCAGTTCGACTACCATCTCCACTTCGTCTTCAAATTTTGCGTTGTTTTCAATGTCTTCCTCTAAGAGGGAAACATCTGTTTCATTCTACGGTGTCCACATTTAAAGTGTTAAAAAACAGGAAACTTCAAAAAATGTTTAATTGTAAGATTCTAAGATTCTCATTACGTAAAAATCGAAGAACTATGTAGACGACACAAAAATATAATATGAAGAATGTTGTTAATCGACAGGCCGACAAAAAGGATTTTTTTAAACTTACCCTGAATATAAATAGAGTACCCTTGCCCTTTGAAAACAGAGAAACAGGTACATAAATACGTATCTTCTGCACGGATCATAGTCAAATAAATCCGTAATATATAGGAGTATATTGCAATTTAGATTAAACTCTTAAACGCTTCTTCTACTTATTCGAAAATACCCAGCAGCATCAATGCTCAATCAAATTTAAAACGGTCCATTTACGTTTCAAATAAAAATTTCACGTTTCTACAAATATCCGTTACTGTCCATCTCTGGGAAAACCTACTTAATGCAGGTTACGGTACTGTAAAATACTTAAAACCTCAAAGCAATAAATGCACTATATTTTTGGTCGTATTATATCAATGGCGGTCCCCTAGGACCAACTGTTACCGAGATCTGGAGTTTAGAGAGGAGCGCGTATACCTTCGAAAATAATCGATTTTTCGATATTAAAACAGGTTATGCTAAGAACACAATAAAAACATGCGGAAGGGCGAAACATTGACATCTAGGAATATCAGAATGTGTTTGGTCCAACCAACGTAACATGAAATGCTCAGAGGCCAGTGTTGTCCACAAGCAGCCTCGATGGAAGAAGTGCAAATTCAAAATAGCTGTGTTCATAGCAAATATCGACGTTTGAATTAATTGCTGCTTGGACCCAAAAGTTATGTAATTTCAAGTTTTTTTAGTATCTACTTTGAACATTGTCTCTCACATTCAAACAAGTTTTTGATCTTCTGATGACAAAACTGATGAAAACTGAATCGGTTTGTATATTTCAAAGACATCAATGTAATCTAGGTAACGAACCCGTGCTTAAAGATGGTACACTAGGTCCGCAAAACGGGGAGAAACTATAACTTGGGGGACGAGAAAATGATTATTAATGCGGGATTAATACAAGAGAATGAATCTATGACTGCAGAAGGCTATCGCGAATGGCGATGACACTCTCTAAGGCCCTTTGAAAGAGGCCCGCATCGCCGTAGGGCCTAAAAGGATGACAGGGAGTTGATTCGACCGCAAAGATATACGTGTTTTACGTGTTATTTTTTCCACCGAGGGTGGGAGTTTCATTTTCTGCGTTCCCTTACGTCTGATGTTCGTTTCTAATCAAAGATGTTTTCTCTTAGTG